AGAATGAGCATATATTGTTGTATGTATTATGTGTGTATATTATGCATATTATATTATATATATAGATTACAGTATATATATATATATATCCATATGTATATATATATATATATATATAGATATATATCTATACATTATATATATTCATATATTTATATATGTATGTATATCTATGCGTGTATGTGTATATTGTTTGTGCATAATATAGATAATACTACATTACGTATATATATATATATATATATATATTTACATACATACATATATATATGTGTATATTTACATATATATATATATATATTTACATATATATATATATCTACATATATATATATATATATATATATATGTATCTGTGTATGCATATATATGTATATATAACATTTAAAATATACTTGATGTAGATATATATACATATATATATATATATATTGTTTATACAAAAGAATTGATGCATAGACGCACACTTCAATACAAATATAAAGAAGGTAATATTAACTCTTATTATTATTATTCTTATTATTATTATGCATGCGGGTTTGCTGCTGCATTGCAGCAGCAGCGGCAGCAACAAGTGCTGCTGCAACAAAGAAGAAACAGAAGCTGTCTCTTCTCTGTCTCCTGTCTGTTTTTTTTTTGCTTAAGCATTTGGAGTGTCTCCTGTAATATAAATTAATACACAAGGAGATTAACCCTTTTGCTGCAGCTGCTACAGCTAGCTGCAGCTAGCTGTAGCTTGCTGCACCTAGCTGCAGCTAGTTGTGGCTGCGCTAGTGGGGGCTCTTAGGCTAATGGTAGCAGCAAAACAAATAAAGCAGCTGCTGTAGCAGCAGCAGCAGCTGCTGCTGTAGCAGCAGCAGCAGCAGCAACGAAGACAATCAGAAAATAAGAACAAACATGAAAGCCTTCAATGCGCTTAGAGCGCACAGAGCTGAGATTTAGGGTGTAGGGTTTAGGGTTTAGGGTTTAGGGTTTAGGGTTAATGATTGCTCATAAAGGAAATAAGAGTTATTGTTTAGGTTCTTAGGGTTTAGGGTTATAGGGCTTAGGGTTTAGGTCGTTAAGTTTAGGCTTCAGGGTTTAGAATTTAGGGTTTAGTGTTTTGTCCTTATGTTTCATGGTCTAGGGTTTAGGGTTTAGGGTTTAGGGTTTAGGGTTTAGGGTTTAGGGTTTAGGGTTTAGGGTGACCGCGCTTGGCCGACTCGATGGAGTGATGGGCAGAGGGATGTGCGTCTTCTGCTGCAGCAAACAAACAAATAAATTATTTTAATCTATTTAGTGTTTGTCTTAGCTTTATATCTTTTTATGTTTCAAAACCAACCGCAGCAGCAGCAGCAGCAGCAGCAACTGCAGCAACTGCAGCAGCAGCAGCAGCAGCGCCGATGGTCTCGTCCTTACAGTGGGCGATCGGCTCTTTGTTGTCTAAAGTTCTTTCTTTGTGTTTTTTAAAGAAATAATTTAATTAATTATATTAATTAAATTAATTAAATTAATTAATTGCTTTTTATTTTCTCGTTCATTGATATTTCACAGAGTTCTAACTTCCTCTCGCATCGGAAGGCATGAGGCCCTCTTCAGGTGTACAGGCACCTCATCGCTACATCGATATCTTCATCTTCGAGTGCATGCAAAGAAGAAAAAACTTTATTTAAATAATTATTACCTTCAGCAGCGGTTGTTGCAGCGGCAACAACAGTAGCAGCAGCAGCAGAAGCAGCTGCTGCAGCAGCTGCTGCTGAAGGCGGAGAGACCTGCATGAGACGGCAGCAACAGCAGCAACAGCAGCAACAGCAGCAGCAGCAATAGCAACAGCAGCAACAGAGTCTATCTGTGCCGGATCTGTTGCAGCTGGTGGTGCTAGGGGCGTTTTGTGGCTCTCTGAGTGTTCAGGGTTTAGGGTTTAGGGTTTAGGGTTTAGGGTTATCTAAAAAGCAAAGTGAAGAGGCCAGCCATGGAGAGCCCCCCGAACCTCGGCTGCGTTTCACCTGCAGCAACAGCAGCAGCAGCAGCAACAATAGGCCCACCAGCAGCCACATCAACAGCATCAGCAACAGCAGCAGCAGCAGCAACAACAACAACAGCAGCAGCAACAACAACAACAGCAGCAGCAACAACAGCAGCAAGAACTGGGAGCACCCGCTTTGCTGCTACCTCTTGGCGTGCATCTTTAAGGTCGTCTGTCTCCTCCTTTAGCTTTCAATTACTCTTTACTGCTGTTTGTCTCTGCTGCTTTTTCTGTCTCCTCGAGCTTTCTCTGCCTTCTCCTACGCAAGCAGCAGCAACAGCAGCAGCAGCAGCAGCTCTTGCTGCTGCTTCTCCAGGCCCCTTCTCCTTTGTCTTGCTTGCTGCTGCTTCGAGCACAGAGATATTCCCTGAAGCAGCAGCAGCAGCAGCAGCAGCAGAAGCAGAAGAAGAAGATGATGACTCCGACTTCTTGTCTCTATCGACGGAGAGCAGCAGCAGCAGCCCCGAAGCAGCAGCAGCAGCAGCAGCAGCAGCAGCTGACTATGACCTGATTGGAGCTGCTGCTTCAGCTCTGCTGCATGAAGATGCTGCAGCAAATACACCATACGGGGGCCCTCTAGAAGAAGCCGAGAGACAGCGAGAAGATTTGCTGCCAGCAGAGGAGACAGAAGAGACACAGCTGCAACAGTATCTGCATGAAGAAGAGGAGCTTTCTATCCCTACTGCTGCTGCTCCTGCTGCTCCTGCTGCTGCTGCTGCTGCTGATGAGCTGCTAGAGGAGACAGAGCACGATCTACCCCTTCCTTTAGATATATATTCACCTGAGACGGAAGAAGCAGCAGCAGCAGCAGCAAGAGAACCCGCAGCAGCAGCGGCAGCAGCAGCAGCAGCAGCAGCAGAAACAGAAATACATGTCCCATCAAAATACAAATGGGTGAGAGACAACTGTCTCCTTTTTTTTATTTTCACCGTCTCTGTCTCCTTCTTGTTTTATTTAACTTTTTCTTCTTGTCTCTTCTTTATTTTTTAATTCAGCTTCTCTGCTGTCTCCTTAATTATTTTATTATGTCGTTTGTTTGTGTTTGTTTGTCTCGCTCTTTGTTTTGCTGCTTCTCTCTGTCTTTTATTGTGTCTCTGTCTCCTTTTCTGTCTCTTCTCTCTATCTTGTTGTCTCTTCTTCTGTCTCCTTCTCTCTCTCTCTTAGTCCGCTGCAACCCTAAACCCTAAACCCTAAACCCTAAACCCTTTTTTTTCTTTGCTTCAGGACCCTCCTATGCCTTCTGCTAAACTGCCTCTGCTGGAGCATGTAGCAGAGGCATTTAAATTGCAAACAAATGAAACGCCAGAACATATCGCCGCTTTCCAGGTCCTAAACCCTAAACCCTAAACCCTAAACCCTAAACCCTAAACCCTAGCCCTAACTGTTGACTCTATGCTAGAGGCTCCACCCTTAACCCTAAATCCATATACCCCAAGCACTCAGATGCTGTCTATAGTACTGCTTTGCTAGATATGGGTATCATCAGATTGAAATTAGGGTTTAGGGTTTAGGGTTTAGGGTTTGTTCTGCAGGCCGCGTTTTGTTTGCGCGAATACTTGGAGGAGGCCTTCAACAGCTGGGATCTGCTGCTGCAGCAAAGCTGCAGCAGCAGCAACCAGCTGTTTCCGTCTTACTATCTGATGCACAAGCAGCAGCAGCAGCAGCAGCAGCAGCAGCAGCGCAACAGAATTCCTCTTGCTGCTCAATCGGCATTTCTGGTGTATCCTCTCTTAGTTCATTTGTATCAGGTTTGCATTATTATTATTATTTATTTATTATTATTATTATTATTATTTATTATTATTATTATTTATTAGTATTATTACTATTAATATAATATTTGCTGCTATTAGCGTCTGTCTGTGCTTTGTTCTGTTGTTTGCTGTTGCTGCTGCTCGGCTGTACGTACACCTTTGCTCGCTGCTTCTGCATGTGCATCACCAGCAGCAGTATTTGCTGCTGCTGCTGCAACAGCAGCAAATACTATTGCTGGTGATGCAGCGATAGTTACTCATGCTGCTCTTGCTGCTGCTGCTGCTGCTGCTGCTGCTGCTGCGCAACTCCTGCTGCAGCTGCTGCTGCTACAAATCAACGCTTGCCGTTGCTGCTGCCCCTACTCTGCTGCATCTGGTGCAGCTGCTGCTGTTGCTGCAGCTACTGCTGCTGCTGCTGGCTTCTGTCTTTACAAACTACTACTTGTTGACAACTTGTTGGTGTTATTTGCTGTTTGTTTTCTTAATTTGTTTTTAATTTGTCTTTCAGGTGTATGGGGAGCTTCCTCTGAGTGTACAGAGAGCTATATCATCATTAGCTGCATACTTAAACGGGAAGGAGTTGCTGCTAATCCCTGCTGCTGTTATTCCTACTGAGGTGTATATACACCTCGGCGCTGCTGCACTACCTGAGCTGCTGCAGGAAGAGCCCAGCGACGAAACAGACACCGCCAGCAGCAGCAGCAGCAGCAGCAGCAGCAGCAGGAGCAGCAGGAAGAGGAAGGAGCTGGCGTCGCTGGTCAGGAGTTTTCCTCTGCGTGTTCTTGATGCTACATCTCAATCGCCTCTTTATGCTGCAGATGCTGCAGCTAAAAAAGAAATAGCAGCAAATCTACTCGGAGATCTCGGAGACCCCTTATATCCTTTTAATGATGGTTGGCTGCAGCTAGCTGTAACTAGCTGCAGCAAGATGCCGCACTTCAAGCTGCCAGGCATGTTGTCCTGCTGCTGCTGCTGCTGCTGCTGTTGTTGTTGCTGTTGCTGTTGCTGTTGCTGTCTCTTTTTCGTCATTAGCTGCATGCATATTGTCTCCGTTTTGCTGCTTTGTTGCAGCTATATATTTTTTGCTGTATTTGTTTTTTTGTCAGTTCTGTCTCTCTTTGTCTCCTTCGCTGTCTCTTCTCTGTCTCCTCTGTCTATTTATTTATTTGTTTATCTCTCTCTCTCTCTCTCTCTCTCTCTCTCTCTCTCTCTCTCTCTCTCTCTCCTCTGTCTCTCTCTTCTGTCTCCCTCCCACTGTCTGTCTCTTCTTTGTCTCTTCTGTCTGCTTTGTGTTTGCTGTCTCTTCTTTGTCTCCTTTGTTTTTTTCTTTATTTGTTTGTCTGTCTTTTTTATCTCTTTACGATTTATATATATCCATATATATATATGTGTGTTTAGAGTGTATAATATGTATATTTTTGAGGATAAATATATTTCTTTATTCTTTATTTCTTTCTGTCTCCTTTAATGTTTATTTATTTAAGTGTCTCCTTTCTCCTTCAGCTCCTGACTTCTCTTCTTCTCTTCGCTTAATTCAATCTGCAAGACAATTAGCAGCAACAGTCGGGCTGAGCATGCAGAAACACGGAGAAGTAAACCCCACACTCATTAAATATACTTGCATGCATGCAGACACATTATATGCATGCATGCATGCATGGATGCAGACATATTATATGCATGCATGCATGCATGCATGCAGACATATTATATGCATGCATGCATGCATGCATGCAGACACATTATATGCATGCATGCATGCATGCATGGAGACACTTTAGATGCATGCATGCAAGCATGCATGCATGGAGATACTTTATGTGCATGCATGCATGCATGGAGACACTTGATATGCATGCATGCATGCATGGAGACACTTGATATGCATATGTATGTATGCATGCATGCATACATGCATGCATACATGGGGACACATTATATGCATGCATGCATGGAGACACATTGTCTCCTTTTGTCTCCTTTAATTATTCTTTTATGTTCTTCTATTTCCTTTTATTTCCTTGTACATCCTTTTGTCTCGTTCTGTCTCCTTTATTTATTGTTTATCTTCTTTTATTTCTTCTTTTATCTTTTCTTAATTCTTTTTTATCTTTTTTAAATTCTTTTTTGTCTCCTCTGTCTCCTTTTGTCTCCTTTTCAGGAGATGGCTTCGACTTATTCACAAATATCTGCAATTGAGGAGACAGAAGCAGAAGAGATGCAGCAAGCAGCAACGCCGCACTTGCTGCCTTCCCCAGCAGAAGCAGCAGAAGCAGCAGCAGCAGCAGCAGCAAAAGCAGCAGCAGAAGCAGCACCAGCAGCAGAACCAACAGCACCACCAGCAGAAGAAGCAGCACCGGCAGCAGCACCAACAGCACCACCAGAGGAAGAAGCAGCAGCAGCAGCAGCAGCAGCAGCAGCAGCTAGCGAAAAAGCAGAGCTAGCTATAGAAGCAAGAGAAGCGCCTCCACAAGAGATACAGCTTACCCCTGCGGAGCAGCTGGAGGCTGCAGAAGAAGAAGAAGAGAAAGAAGAAGAAGACGAGAAAAAAGAAGAAGAGAGACAGAGAGAAGAGGAAAGAAAAACAGCAATTATAACAGAAAAGGAGACAGTAAGAGACAACTTAAACTGTCTCCTTTCTTAGTTAAAAATATATATATTGATTCGTTGCTTAAAGTGTATCAGAACCTAGGGTTTAGGGCTTAGGGTTTAGGGTTTAGGGTTTAGGGTTTGGAGTGCATTTGGGTGTACACTGTACAACAGAAGGAGACACGGCTTTCTCTGGGTGGAGCTGCTGCTGCTGCTGCAGCAGTTGCTGCATTTAAAAGGCCTTTAAGACAGCGACAGAGAGAAGAAGAAGAGAGACAGAAGAAAGAAAAGGAGACAGAAGAAGAAGGAGAGAAGGAAGAAGAGCAAGAAGAAAAGGAGACAGAAGAAATAGCAAAAGCTGCAGAGACAGCAGAAAAGAAGGCAGGCGGTGTACGCATGCACAGATAAACTCTTTATTTGTCTCTTCTTTTGCTATTATTAATTAAATAAAAACTATTAGCTGTCTCCTTTATTTGTATTTTAATTTGTATATCTTCCTGTCTTTATGTTCATTCTTCTGTCTCTCTTCTTCATTTGTTGCTCTAGCTGTCTCCTTTCTGTTTTCTTCTGTCTCTTCGTGCTGCTTAACTTTATTTCTCTTCATTTTTGTCTCCCTTCTTGCTGTGTCTGTCTGTCTCCTTTTGTCTTCTTCTCTGTCTTTTGTTTTACTTCTTTATCTTTTATCTGTTTTGTTTGTCTGTCTCCTCGTTTATGTTTGTGTATTTCTATTTCTTTTCTTGCTGTGTCTCTCTGTCTCCTTCTGCATTACTTTGCCTCTGCATGCTTCTTTATTTTAATTCTTCTGTCTCTCTTTCTTCTCAAGCACTCGTTTAAAGTAGTTTAGGCGTCTCCTTTATCTGTCTGTCTCCTTCATTCTCTCTTTCTTTTGTTGCTTTGTTGCTTGCTTCTTCTCTCTTTTCTCTGTCTCTGTCTGTCTCCTTTTATGTATGTATGTTTGTGTGTTTGTTTGTTTGTCTCTGTCTCTGTCTCCTTCTATGTTTGTTTGTTTATTTGTCTCTGCCTCTGTCTCCTTTAATGTTTGTTTGTTTGTCTCTGTCTCCTTTATTCCTCTGTCTCTTTTTATATGTTTGTTTATTTATTTGTCTCTGTCTCCTTTTGCTTCTCTCTGTCTCCTCTTACTTTTTATTTGTTTGTCTCCGTCTGTCTCCTTTTGTGTTTGTTTGTTTGCCTCTGTCTATTACACCTTTTCTTTATCATTTTGTTTATATATTCAAGATATAATATATATAATATTTATAATATATATAATATTATATAATATAATATATATATATATATATTTTTAATCTCCTCTTAATATCACTAGTTATTTTGTTTTTCTTTCTTTGTTTGCTGCTGGTGTCTCCTTTCGTAGCTGTCTCTGGGTGCTGCAATGCGTGTTGCTGCTGCTGTTGCTGCATTTAAAAGGAGACAGCAGCAGAAGAAGGAGACAGCAGCAGAGGCGCTTAAAGCAGCAACAGAGGAGACACTTGAAGCTGGAGAAAGAGAAGAAGCAGAAGAAGAAAAGGAGACACTAGAAATAGAGGAGGCAGCACAACAGCAGCAAGAGAAGAAGGAAGAAGGGCCCGCAGCTATTGCTGCTGCTGCAGCAGAAGAAGCAGCAGAAGAAGAGGAGACACTAGAAATAGAGGAGACAGCACAGCAACAGCAAAAGAAAGAGAAAGAAATGCCTGAAGCTGTTGCTGCTGCTGCAGCAGAAGAAGCAGCAGAAGAGGAGGAGACAAAAGCAATAGAGGAGACAGCACAGGAGACGCAAAAGAAAGAAGAAGAAAGGCCTGTAGCTGTTGCTGCTGCTGCAGCAGAAGAAGCAGCAGAAGAAAAGGAGACACTAGAAATAAAGGAGACACAACAAGCCCCCGAACCAGAAAAAGAGGAAGAGCTGTTAATTGCTGCAGCAGCAACAGAAGAAGCAGAGGAAGAAAGAGAAACAACCGCAGAGGTAGGCAGCAGCAGCAGCAGCAGCAGCAACAGCAGCAGCAGCAGCAGCAACTCCCCTGCATCAGCAACACACCAAGGAGGAGACAGACAAACAGCAGCAGCAAACAAAATAATGAATCAACAGAGCAGAAGGAGAGATATGCCTCTCTTTCCCTTTAGCTGCTGCCGAGGGTTTCCGCTCTAGGGTTTAGGGTTTAGGGTTTAGGGTTTGGAGCCAAGGTTACAGATACTATCGTTCGAAGTCGAGGGGTTTAGGGTTTAAGGTTTTGGGCTTAAGATTTAGGGTTAAGGGTTTAGTGTTTAAGGGGAAGGGCTTAGTGTACAGGGTTTAGAGCTTAGGGTTTAGGGTTTAGGGTTTAGGGTTTAGGGTTTGTTTTCAGGTGTCTCCTATGGAGAAGAAATTATGTCCGGGTTCGAAGCCCCCGTCTCCTGCGGAGGTGAAGATTAATTTTTTGTCTTTCTTTGTTTATTATTCTGCTGTCTCCTTTTGTCTTTCTTTATCTGTCGCTTTTGTCTTTCTCTTGTCTATCTGTCTCCTTTTGTCTTTATCTGTCTCCTTTTGTCTTTATCTGTCTCCTTTTGTCTTTATCTGTCTCCTTTTGTCTTTGTCTGTCTCCTTTTGTCTTTGTCTGTCTCCTTTTGTCTTTGTCTGTCTCCTTTTGTCTTTGTCTGTCTCTTTCTGTGTCTTTGCATGTCTCCTTTGTCTTTCTTTGTCTGTCTCCTTTTGTCTTTATCTGTCGCTTTCCTTCCTTTCTGTCTTGTTGCTTTCTCTCTCTGTCTCTCTCTCTCTCTCTGTCTCTCTGTCTCTCTCTCTCTCTGTCTCTCTGTCTCTCTGTCTCTCTCTGTCTCTCTCTCTCTCTGTCTCTCTCTCTCTCTCTCTCTCTCTCTCTCTCTCTCTCTCTCTCTCTCTCTCTCTCTCTCTCTCTCTCTCTCTACAGCCTTTCTATTTTTTGTCTCTGTTTGTCTGTCTCCTTTATTTGTCCTTCGTCATCATGTTGGCTTTTAAGCCTATTGCTACCCCCAAACCCTAAACCCTAAACCCTAAACCCTAAACCCTTGCGGAGACATATATATATATATATATATCCCGACAGTCTGTCTCTCTCTGTTCTTGTCTCTTCTTCTTTTTAGAAGGAGCTTCTTCTTTCTAATTTGCTTCAGTTTCACAGAGAGTTTGCGGTGTCTGTACACCCCAACGCAAAGAAGGAAATCCTAAAGAGAGCAGCAGCAGCATTAAGAGAGACAGAAATTAGACTAAGAGGAGCAGCGTGGGGCGACAGCTTTAATATTCTTCTTAGTCTTCTTCAGCAGCAAACTGCTGATGCACAATTTATTGATAAACTCAAAGAGCAACGTAAGACCTCTAAACCCTTCTAAACCCTAAACCCTCATTAACCCTAAACCCTCATTAACCCTAAACCCTCATTAACCCTAAACCCTCATTAACCCTAAACCCTCATTAACCCTAAAACCCTCAGCAAAAGCCCTTCGAAGCCTCAGTTACAATACACACGGAACACCTTCAAACCCTACATTCTGAACCCCCAATCCCCAAACCCTAAACCCTAAACCGTAAACCCTAAACCCTAGAGCTTCGTTTGCTATTCAGTGTTGAAGACGAATCAATTGGAGGGGGAACTGCTGGCTCTATCTGAGGAGTACACTGCGGAGACAGCGCCGCATGCACCTGCAGCAGCAGCAGCAGCAGCAGCAGGAGCAGCAGCAGCAGCAGCAGCAAGTCGCCCCAAAGACAGAAGAAAAGAAAAGGAGACAGTGAAGAAAGCAGCAGATCTCCTGCAGCAAATAGCAGAAGACACCTTCATGGGTTTATCGAGACTAAAGAAATATATTAAGTGCTGCGACATAAACAAAGACAGCAAACAACAGCACTGGGGGCTGACGCCTAAGACTGCTGCAGCTTCTCTAAACCCTCTACTCTCTAAGAAGGCTTTAAAGCTAATCAGCAAGTGTACGTACACCCCCACAAACCCTAAACCCTAAACCCTAAACCCTCAAAAACCTAAGACTGTTACTGCCTTTCTAAACCCTTAACTCTCTAAGAAGGCCCTAAAGAACATCAGCAAGTGTACGCACACATCCACAAACCCTAAACCCTAAACCCTCAGAAACCTCAAAACCCTAATCAACAACAACGCCGCAGCTCCTACAACTTGTAGGTCCACGGCCAACCCCCTAGGGTTTGGAAAAAGATTTTAGGGTTTGGGATTTAGGGTTTAGGGTTTAGGGTTTAGGGTTTAGGCTTGATGAAGAGGGTTTCGTTTGCAGCTGAAGGGCGCAAGAAAGCAGAAAGAAGAAAGCAATTCTTGCAGCACCTAAAGGTAAATCCATAAGCTATGATTCAGGGGTTAGAAGCAAGGGTTTAGGGTTTAGGGTTTAGGGTTTAAGGTTTAGGGTTTGCTGTTTTTCTCCGGCTTGTTCTTCAGAAATGTGTAGACGACAACATAAAGGCCTTCCACGGTAGCGTTATAAACCCTAACGCGTTTAGTCTGAACCCTTGAGCATACCCTCAAACCCTAAACCCTAGAAAACCCCAAACCCCAAACCCTAAACCCTAAATCCTAAATTGTAGGTTGTGCTTGAGGGTTTCTGTTCAAAAGAGCTGCCTTTTTTATTGCTCAGCGTCTCGGCAGAAACACCCTGAAAAATATCCGACGCCAAACGGTGGGCTGGCGTAGGGTTTAGGGTTTAGGGTTTAGGGTTTGGTTGTGTCTGTAGCTGGATAGTGTTTTCTTTTGCTGAGCTGAATGTTGAGGGCCTTAGCTGCTGCAGACAGAAGCGATTGGAGGGCACAGCCAGTTCAATCTCAACGGTTTAGGGTTTAGGGTTTAGGGTTTAGGGTTTGTTTGTGTGTGCAGATTTCTTTGATGCGTCTTCTTGTTTGCTGCACCGACAGTTTATGTCGCTGCCATACAAAGACCGCGAGGAGCTGCTTTCTGCTGTCTCCTTTCCTGAGCCTCCACCTGTCTCCTTTCTAGCAACTGTCTCCTCAGCTGTCTCCCCAGCTGTCTCCTCAGGTGTCTCCTCAGCTGTCTCCCCAGCTGTTTCTTCAGGTGTCTCCTCAGGTGTCTCCTCAGGTGTCTCCGGGGTATATTTAGCTCAAATACAGCTGCATGAAGGAGGCAAAAAACAAAAACAGAAAAAACAAAAGAAAACAGCTGGAGACTCCCTGCTGCATATAAATGATTTGATTGAATTCGCACTGAGACAAAGAGGTCAGCCAAACCCTAAACCCTAAACCCTAAACCCTAAACCGTCTGGCTGGGCAATGTTTCTGTTCGTACTAGGGTCTAGGGCTCATGATTTAGGGTTTAGGGCTAAGGATTTGGGGTTTAGGGTTTAGGGTTTAGGGTTTAGGGTTTAGGGTTTAGGGTTGTCTGTGTGTATACAGTGTCTCTTGATGAGGCGTCTTCTTATATAGAGCTCTTAAACGGCATATATTTGCAGTCTTCTGCTTCTGAGTTGTCTCCGTCTGAAAGAGAGCAGCAGTTGGAGGAGCTTGTCTCTTTATTTGAAGCTGCAGAGACAGCAGAAAAGGAGACAGACATAAAAGACAAGCTAGCTGTCTTCAGCGATATTGTTATTGAAGTGTCTCTTGTGCCTCCTCATCAGCTTATCTGGGCTGTATACGCAGGTATTTATTTATTTTAATTATTTAATTCTTTATTTTGCTGCTTTCAATAATATTATCTCTCTCTCTGTCTCGCTCCTTCTGTCTCCTCCAGCTGTCTCCTCTTTACCTGTCTCCTTTCTCTCTGTCTCTTTATTCCGAGTCTTTTGTTTGTTTTTTGTATAAATATAAATTAAATGTATATATAAATATAAATATAAATACAAACATAGATATAAATATAAATATAAATATAAATATAAATATAAATATAAATATAAATATAAATACAAACATAGATATAAATATAAATATAAATATAAATATAAATAT